ATCCTTTTGTCTGTTAAGGAACCAGTTGGGCACTTTGTATTGCAAAGGGCAAGAAATGATGGTGACAATCTTGTCAACCTCCTCCTCAGTGCATTCTCCAGCGCGTTTAGTCAGATCTACATCAGCCTTCTTCAAAACAATGTTGGAGTAACGGCGACCCACACCCTTAATAGCAGTCATGGCAATACCAACTTTACGTTTGCCATCGATGTTCGTATTCATGATACGAAGAAGGTGTTGGAACTTATCTGGAACAACGAGCGACATTTTGCACTTTGTTAAGCGACCGAGTTCAAGCCGAAAAAAAAGCCAGCATATAAATTAAAAAAACTTAAAAAAAAATTTTAAAAGAATAAAAATTAAGGTAAAAATATTAAAAATAGATTTACCTAATCGCATTTTTCATACTAAAATATATTTTCTTATTTTTTTTAAATTTCTAATTAAAAATTTTGAGCCCTAAAAGGTATTTTTTTTAGGATAATTATAACATTTGTTATAACAAATTCCGAAAGCGAAATTGTTAACAGGTAATCGCCATTGGTTAGAAACTTTTATATTTGGTAATTAATTAGAAAACAATTAGTTTAAAATTATCAGTTTTTTTGGTCTGGCGCTCAGGAAAAAGAGCAGATTAGTTCAAGTAACGACTGACTGACAACAGAATTCCAAACCATTTGCTCTATTTGGCGAATACCCATATTGTCGCGTCTTTTGCTATCTACTATGTATGCTCCATATGCTGGACAGGCTATGATAGGCAACGTTTTTAATGTGTTTTTTTTTGGTTTAATTTTTCATTCAATACAAAATGCACAGTATTTATAAAACCACATGGTTGCTATTTACTTGGTAGTGGATACCGTAGCAATGAATTTGAAAATTCGACCGTATATTATTAACTGTAGATTTTGCTATATGTACTAGAGACGGGCACGAGACAAAAATTTCAATTCTGATCCCGCCCATACCGAAATTCAATATTAAGTCCCGAACCCGCCCATCCCGGCGTTTTTCCGAATTGTACCGCACTAGGGTCCGGAAACCTACCACTATGATTAATTCCCATGTATTTCAAATAAATTTTAAATAATAAAAAATCTGGCATCTTTGGGTTATTTTATTTTTTTCCTTACTTTCGTTTTCATGTCAATAAAACACAAAAAAGTGATTATTTCATAAAACGTTTTTAAGGAAGATTTTTTGAATTTGCGGAGGTTGCGGGCTTTATCGGGATCTTCCCGATACTTCCCATCCCGGCCATTTTGAAATCAGTACCGTAGGTCCGGCGGGTCCCGATATCCCCCGCCCATCTCTAGTATGTACACTGGCAATTAAAACCGAGTGTATGTACGACATTTTATTACTTACAGTAGCCTAATTTTTTTAATAAATATTAATGGGATTGCTTTAAAATTTTCAGCAAAACCACCGATTCACAGCGAAAACGTAAGGCTACTCTATTCACTCAGTTTTGAACTTTTCTGTTCTGTTTCGATTTGTCCATTAATCGTTATTGTCAAGCTCAACTAACGGTAGGCCGAAGAAACGAGCTGTTTCGATGGGGTCGGGCCAAGGAGAGAGAGTTGTGGTGTGAACAGATGGTTGGTGTCGTGGGGAACCTCCACATACCGTATACTCATTAGGGATATTGGGATCGAGTTTAGACGAGTAGCAGTTGGGACGGCTACAATATCCTGACCGTAATAAGACCAGAGTAGCGCGGGTCTCTCGTAGTAATCAAAGCTCAGAGTTTGCAATTGGCAAAAAAAATTTTAATTTTGCTGCTTCCCAATGGAAATAACGATTTTTTATTAAAATATTTTACAGCTAGATCACTAAATAATTACCAAGGAACAAATTTCTAGGACCTAAAAACCTATAAAGCAGGCTAAATAAAATAACGAAATAAGCATGAAAAGGCTCTAAGAATGGCAAAATGGCAAGAAAAAAAGAAAACCCAAAAAAGAAGATTCGTTGACTAGTTTCATAATATGAAAAATTTTAACTATGATTAAATGTTTGAGTATTTTCTTGTACCGAGTGTCCGAGGACATTCACTGGCATCGGACAGAGGCACTTTACCCAGTCGAGCAACTGTAACTGTGCACCCCAATATACGCCACTGCAACCCTACTTCTTTACTTGTTTTCAATTCGGGTTGTTAATAAAAGCACCGGAGATTATTGCCAATTAACTGTTTGAACATACAGCAATTTGCGTACAAAACTCGTCATTGAGAATTCCAATTCCCTGTAAAGAGGTAGTGCGTTTTCGATGGCTTTAACGATGCACTGATTTCATTTGCGATATTCAATGACTTACAACGATTAACAAAGGAAACTAAGCACGGTACCTATCAGCCATAATGCTGCGTAATTAGTTCAGCACGCATACAAAACATTGATACACACATGTACACAGTCATCTATGTACACCAACATGCACCACATACCGGCAACTAAGGGTGGGTAACTCTGTAAATTTTCGTGTGCTGACTCAGTAACTCCAACTCACTTTAATGAGTCAGCACAGTGAGCTGGCACAAGTGTGCTATCGCACAATTGGTATGTACATCGAAATTATTGATGATGTTAGTAATCGAAATCGATTTAGAGAAGGTTATCCTTAGCTTCTGTTCGTAGCTGGCCGGAAAAATTTTACAAAGCTGATTTCAACTGGTGAGTTCATTTGCAAAATAATTCCCTACTTAGTTTTGCTTGAGAGTTGTCACATACGAATCTGTTAAATGGGCTATGCATGTAAGCGGTTACCCAACGCATAGCACTTCACATGTAGAATTCTGTTTGGTTTTGATTTTTACGTAAAAATGGTATAGCAGTGCAAGTATGCATAACTTGGCTATTCGCCTTGCTTCTTTTTAAATTTGGTAGTCGTATATTCAATTGATGGTTAGTCTAGTGATGCCATCTATTATGGTACTCTTTGGAAGATCGTATTGTGTGAATGTGTGAGCTCATCAATTGAGTTACCACATCGACACAGCAATGCAAGCCGCACCGAGCTATGCAAGTGTCAGCACATCAACTGAGTTACCATATCGACTCTGTAGCACACTGAGCTATACATTGTCAGCACATAAACTGAGTTACTGAGTTACAAATTTTTTCAGAGGTGAGTCTGAGCGTGCGGCACAGTTCTAAGAGTCAGCACAGTAACTCAGCACAGTGCTGAGTTACCCACCTCTAGTGGCAACTGGCGACACCAAAGCAATTAACTGCCACTAATGTGCCCAAAGAAAACGATTTCAATTAGAGGTACAAGGCATCCGAAACGCTCATATGCCTCTAATAATCCTGACCCCCAGTCCTTGCAACACTTCATTCAACCAACTGGAGGTGGGAGCTTTTAGCATATAAAAACAACGGCAATTGCGTTCGCAGTCACAGTTGTAGCAAAACATTGTCAACGTTGGTACATATTACAGAATAAAGCCATTGAATCCTTTTAGAAGAGACAACAGCAAACGAATACGCACGGGACGGTGGCAAGTATCGACTCATCAATGGCTACAACAATGTCAATGCAGCAACGACATAGAGCGCGCCATGAAGCGCAACTTACAACGGATCTACCATTTATGCTTGGTCGCGCACCTTGGTGGCAGCCGACAGCGCCTGCGGGCCGACGTCAACACAAACGAAAGATCGCATTTACCGAGGCGTTGAAGGATTTCCTGCAGAATGTATCCTTTCATTGTTACAACAAATTAGTTGAGCCGCGACGGCGTTTTCACGAACGGTGAGTGAGTGAGTGAGTGTCTTTCATAGCTCTCGAATTGTCGGCTGTCATTTCAAGTTGTCAGAATTATTGGAATGAGAATTTAATCAACCGCTTTTACTTGCAGTTTCTTTTGGACTATTTTCCACATTACAACGCTGAGCGTTCTGATTGCATTCCTTTGCAAAATACAAATATTTGAGGGACAACTCTTGAGTACCNAGTGTCTTTCATAGCTCTCGAATTGTCGGCTGTCATTTCAGTTGTCAGAATTATTGGAATGAGAATTTAATCAACCGCTTTTACTTGCAGTTTTTTTTGGACTATTTTCCACATTACAACGCTGAGCGTTCTGGTTGCATTCCTTTGCAAAATACAAATATTTGAGGGACAACTCTTGAGTACCGTTATGTATGATGCATTGTTTCCCATCAGCAAAGTTCCCTTCCCCACCATTTCGATTTGTTCGCTGAATCGCATTTCGAATGCCTCGGTTAATAGATATGCTGAGAAGCTGTAAGTTCAGTTTAAAATATTTTCTTTAAATTTGCCTAGTATTAGTGTGCAATTCATGTTTAATTTTTCAGTAACATGAAAGATCCACAAAAGCGCGGCGTCAATTACTTTTATAATCAGATAAAGAAATTAAGTCGCCCATATTCTAGAGAAGATATAAATGACGACGATTATGAAGAATTCTTAGAATTTCAAAACTTTTTGGATATATACGATACCACGGACGCGGAGAGTTTTTATGACACCAGAGATCGCATGAAAGAGGTATGGAAGAACAATCCGAATGAAAATATATTACATGTATATTCATATCTATCTGCATATCTACATATATATCAAACAAAATCATATAATTNTATTGTGGACTTGATGTTGAAAAGAATCGAAGTATTTAAATCAAGCTTTACAATCCGAATGAAAATATATTACATGTATCTTCATATCTATCTGCATATCTACATATATATCAAACAAAATCATATAATTCGGTTCAGAAGAATTGGAGTAAATGTCCCCAACTGAATTATATTATCTAACTCTATAAAGAAAAACTGCTAGGAGCAGACACACCATAGTCGTCTCGTATTCACCACGATACTGAAGAAAGTAGTGTTTTACAGCTTAGAGGTTTGTTCTGCTGCTGGTAAGAAGATACAGACCCGTGAAATATGCAATAACAGATTTTCACAAAAAGCCATAGCTCAATTACTGAATTCACTGACTGGGTTACCAATGTACCTAACTAGATTTTTGGTACAAGAAAATTATACAAAATTCTGGTAGTAAAATATTCCAGCAAGTAAATGTTCGGTTACACGCAGAATAGGCATGTAAGGTCTGATCTGTTGAAAATTAAATGCCAAAAGTGATGTTAAGAGTACTAAAAAAAAAAATCGACAATATTGGTATTTAGCACTTTTCTCGTAAATAGTANATTCCAGCAAGTAAATGTTCGGTTACACGCAGAATAGGCATGTAAGGTCTGATCTGTTGAAAATTAAATGCCAAAAGTTATGTTAAGAGTACTAAAAAAAAAATCGACAATATTGGTATTTAGCACTTTTCTCGTAAATAGTAAGTGTTGTCGAGAAAATAGATAAACAGCAGTTGTAGAGAATACATTGCCTATAAAAGAAGGTTTGTTACTTTTTTTCGGCGCATCACCAATCCTGAGTTATCGCTATTTCAAGTTAGAGTTAGAATAGGAATGCCAATAGACTAATTTAGGCACGTTAATTCTGAATGAAATACGCAGCGTGTGACATCTACTACAGCTGCCATGAGACGTCGCATAAACTTGGTGGTGCTGGGCGGAGACTTCCACACCTCTTCTCCAGGTCCACTACCATCAGTGAAGGAATTGCGACGATCCTCGTCATAGCTAAATTCAAAAACATAAGCCTCATTTGGGCGCACGCTCTGACGAAGGACAAGGATAATGAGGCTAAAGAAAAGTTATACGAGGCATATGAGCGCTCCCCCTTTAGACTTCATGACAACACGTCAAGAAATGTGGTAGCTAGTATTTAGTACCAGAAACGAGCATCAAGACATTCACAAAATAACTTGGGTGTCCTCTGATCAAAGAACGAAGAACCAAATTTATCATGTTGTGATGGAGAGAAGACACGCTTCGAACGTTTTAGATGTGCGTTCTATCCAGGGAGTCCACGTCGACTCGGATCACTATCTTGTTGTAGCTAAGGTCCGAATGCGTCTATGTGCAATGTAGAACGTACGCCATATAGTGCGGAGAAAGTTCGACAGCCGTCGAGAAGTTACAGTCACAATGGACAGCCGTGAAATTTCGCAATCGATTCTCAAACCTTTTTCTCTTCATCCATTTCCCAAACTCTTCTTGCCGCTGTGGGAGAAGTGGTTGTAAAATCTACCAGAACATAAAGGAGCAATTCAATGGTTTCAAGGCCGGGCCTGGTTACTGTACAGACAAAGATAGAAATCTGGTAACACATATCCACAGTTCACTTGAGATATGAAGGAAACACTTCTAAGCCCTTTTGAATAGCGACACAGATGGCGCCTTTGGTGAAAGAGCACCCGCACCAAAGTAAAGGGACAAATGGACATCAATAAGGCGGTTAAAAAACGACAAGGCGCCTTTGGTGAAAGAGCACCCGCACCAAAGTAAAGGGACAAAGGGACATCAATAAGGCGGTTAAAAAACGACAAGGCCCCCGAGTTGGTTAAAGTCAGCGGCGAAGAGCTGGTCGGGCGCATGTACCAACTGTTAAGCAAAATTTGGTCTGATGAATACACATCCGAAGACCGGAATCTCAGTGAACTTTGTCCAATCCACAAGAAGATGTGCATATGCCGCGGTTTGCGGCGTTTATCGCGAAATAAGCCTTCTATTATTGCCTATAAGGTCCTGTCGATGATACTATGTTAAACACTGAAGCCCTTCATGAACCAACTTATTGAACCGGCTCTGAACTTTGCTGCGCCTGTTTGGTCACCGGGGAGACTAGTTGGACACAGTGGACGAAGCTACAGGCACGCCTTCTGATGTTACCTGAGCGCCGCTTGCACAGCGAAGCCCAAAATACTGCCCGTAAGGGAGCATAATAAAATTCTCAGCGAGCAGTTCCTGGTGGGAAGTCACAGACGCGAGAAGCTCAACAGACGCGTGATCGCACCCCCATTCACCGCCTGTAGCAGACACGGAGCTTCAACTGCCAAGAAATCCGCGTTACTCTGGCGAATTTAGGTGTGGATATTGCAGCTGTCTGCTGTCCAGACTCGACCCCAATATCTCCAATGAGTGTCGGGCATGTGGAAACTCCCCGCACGACACCAACCACATCTTCACATGCCAGCTCAATCCAATTAAACTAACATCCCTCTCCTTTTGATCTGATCCGTCGAAACTGCCCGTTTCTTGCGCCTACCGATAGATAAATAGTCGGTGCTTAGTAGTGCCGCTACAACAAAAACAACCTTAGCAGTGTGGCTTCAGACCTGGTAAGTCCACCCGCAGAACTACTATGCTATGTAGAGTGGCGTCGAGCACGAGGTTTTAGGCAAAGCGATTCACTCTCATGCGACTTTAATAATGTGATGCTTGAAAGCGTAATAAGAGCTGCTAATCTGATCTGCGCAATATACAATAAACTAAATATCCTGCTGGCGTATCCAGATTGTATCGATATCGTTGGCCTGCATCTTAAAGGCGTAAGTGCAGCACTTTCCAGCATAGAAAAAGAAGCTAAAGAGGTGAACGAGGACAAGTACCATCTGCCAACAAATGAAGAGTCCATGCCTTTTGGGACACACGTCACAGTTGGCAGTTATAATCTTGAAGTATTGAAAGACTTGGTCTTCGTAGGATTGAGCATAAACACCACCAATAAGGCCAGCCTGGAGATGAAGTGAAGAAAAACTCTAGCCAACAGGTGCTACGATGGGCTCCATAGGCAATTCAAAAGCAGAACCCTCTCTCTACGGACAAAAATCAGGTTCTACAAACCACCCGAAATAGCCGTGCAAAAATGCAAAATGGAAGGACCAAGTCCAGAAGGATCTGTCTGCACTCGGGTAAATACCTGATGCAAATCCGTAAAGGAAAGGGACACCTGGCGAAGATTTGGTCTAGACACAAACCGACAAACAGTTGTAGTGCTAATTAAAATAAGGATTCCGAATATACTTAATAGCAGATTTTTGATTTCAAAAATTTCAGAAACCTTTCCTTTTTGTCACAGTTGGTAAATTTGGTAATCACCCTGGCTTTTCCCGGAAACTTTTTGAAGACTTTGAAATCGTCAGAAAAGGGAGAATAAATCCTTCAATGAATAAATATATATATACATATGCACATATTTACATATATCTATAATGGCACCAATTAATTTTTTCTGCTGTTAAAGTTTCCAATTTTTAAAGATATACAGTGGCGGTCGTTTTTAATATTTACAATGTTTTTCAAGCTGAATTTTTCTTTAATATTTTTCTATAAAAATATAGTTCATGGTTAAAAAAATTATGTAAACCACACTTTCAAACTTTAAACAGAACGTAGAAAAAATCCACACATTTTTATCTAAATTTCGAGTATTGTAGCCAGAATTTTTAGACATTTTTTGAGATAAAAGGCTTATAAAGTTCTAATTAAATGAAAGCAAGTTTTGAGCGGCTAAAAAATCGAATTGATTTTTGACAATTTTATTTTGTTAACGGCGTTTTGCACTTTTTTCATGTATGTAAATACGAATATTTTGTGGAAGAATATGCCCAAGACCGTTTGCGAAATAAAATTAAAAAAGTCAACGCCAGTTTTCTTAAATTTCGCTATTTTCATATAATTACCCACAAAATAAGTCAGCAAAAAAAAACTATTAAAACTCAATGCGAAAACTTGAATTCACTTTACTAAAATTTTACAAGCCTGTTAACTGCATACCCAAAAATTTTTTTAAAATTCTGGTTAAAAAGTTCGAAATTTAGATAAAAATTTTTGGATTTTTTTTAAGTTCCGAATAAAGTGTGATTTATATAGTTAGTTTTGTTAAAGCATACAAAAAATCAAAAAAAAAATTAGCTTGATAAACATTGCAAATATTAAAAGCGAAACACCATTCATTAATTTTTGACCGCCACTGTAGAATTCGGTATTCAAAAATTAGTTGTTTCGTATTCATTTACATTTAGTTAACTCCAAATTGTAAGAATCTATTCGTGCGTTGTCGCTTGGCTGGCGAGGACATTGATTGCGCAACGAAGTTTACAGAAACACTGACAGCGAGTGGATTTTGCTGCTCCTTCAATGCTGATGGCTTGTGAGTAACTCTTTCACTACTTACACATAACCACACAGAAATCTATTTACATAACTTTAAAAGTAAATGATATAGAAATCTAGCAATTCATTTGTCTACAGCGGTACGTACTCCTACAATGCTACACTTATTTTCTTTAAAATCTGTTTCGTCAATCACATAAATCCATACATTTATTAACATCGATCTATCTGTGTCCCGAGAGGTCTATGTAAATATTGATCAATTCAAAGGTATTCGGACGAAATGGACCTAAGTCTGCCGCTTGCAAACCGTTCTTCAAACGTTTACGTCAAACAATTAAAGAGAGAGGCAAGTGATTTGAACTTGCCACTTAACTATTCTGGGTCACACTGTAAAACGCAACATTTACCATTTTAACTATGAAAATTTGCTCATTTGCATACGATTTAAAACGAAAAATTAAATTTTAGTAGCTATAATTTTGGCAACGATATTTTAAAACCCGATAATTCTAAAACAATTAATTATTTTAATTGAAATTATTTTTGTCACTGAAAATACGGAAAATGATTGACATGACAAAACTCTCACTTTTACTATTATGAACCTTATATATAAAAATGGAATAGTCGCTTATAGATTTTATTGACAAGATTTGAAGAATACCCATAGAGTAATCTTATTAGTTTTGTTCCATTTTATTTAGTAGTTTTTTTTCTCTGTGTACATACATTTTTCTCTTTAGGTATGCAAAACCACGTCCTACAAGGCTTAGTCTTTTTACGGCATCTAAAGGTTTAGTACTTTTACTAAATGCTTCAAGCAGTGATGACTTTTTCAAGGAATCGATTTCTTCCGGTTTTATGGTAAGTATGCGCTTATAACCCTAATATACGTATTACGGTACCTCTTCGGGCAATTCTTTTAAAGAAATAAAAAAGAAAAAATGAAAAAAAAATATATTATTTATTTTTACATTTTAAAAAGATTTTATTATATGTACAAAATTTCGGTTTTTTTTTCGCGGGAATTGTAAAATCTTTTATATTTCAACGAAATATTCCGGGAAATTATTACTTTTAAAAATATCTCCAAAAAGTTCATTTCTATTCCATTGATAAACTTTATTTTATTATTTTATCCAGCTGAGGTAACTTCTTAGAAACTTTTTTTTTTCAAAAGCTAATTTTATTTATAAAAAACTGATTTTTGGGAGTATTTTCAAATCGGTCCAGCTCACGTAAAACTTAATATTTATGCGAAATATTTTGGCGGAAGTCTTAAGATAAAATAAATCTTATACTACCGATGGGAGAGCACCTTAATATATAGCATATACACTTGTATATGTTTTGTTTAGTGTGACTTTTGTCGGATAAATTAGATCTTGAGGCTGATATCTAATATGATATATATCGTCGCTTAAAGTGAAAAACTGCGTATCATGGTCCTGCAAAACCTCGAAACTGACACTTGTGCCAAAAATTAGATTTGCTCATCGGAAGATCCTGGCATCAAGCCTTATCAATTCATAAGAAAATATCTAGAGAACCTTTTGGAAATAAAATACACTTTTTACGCTCTCCTGTAAAATTTGGGCAACTCCCATACGAGGTTTTGCATTATCTTGATACGCAGTAATAGACACTTAGGGACACGAATTTCGATACGATACGATACCATTTCGATACTTTTGGCATTCGATACCGATATTTTCTACTCGATAGTTTTAAAACGATATTTTTTGGAATCGAGTACCAGAACCCTAGTATCGTATCGAATGTAATAAACTCACTGTTCAATATTATTGCATAGTCTTTTACTTTTCTACTAACTTTTTGCAGCCCTGTAATGTTGTACTGAACATTGAATGCTTTTACCTTTTGCAACCCTGTAATGACAACTGAGAATTGTATTTTTTGTAAAAAACTCTCTTGAATTCGGAATTTTTAAAGAAAAGACACGCGGTTTTTTCCCTTCACCTTAATTTTATAACAAGGTTCGTATTACTATTAATGTCTTCGCAACACCCACATTACAAGGATAATGTTATTAACATTTAATAATAAATTGGGCTTTTAAGAGCAGAAATGGTTAATATAGTTAGGATTGCATGTGGTGGAATTTGAACCCGCGACTTTGTTGTTTTAAGACAACACCTCAATCTCTACGTGTTGTTACAAAATATGTTAGTGAGATTCTCCTCCGATTTGTAAAGTGCGCTTCCAATTTGTTATCTTCATTGTTTAAACGCTTTGTCGATAGCGAATTTGTACGAGTTTGACATAAAAGAAGAGGAAGAACCTAATCTGTCGCTGGAAAAATAGAAATAGATCTAATCTGGCCACAACCACAGTCGTCGCGTAGCCCGGTCGGTGCCAAAATAATTATCTACATAAGAGTACATGTTAAAATAATTTGACAGCTATGGTCCATAGCTCGTCGTTTTCATTGTGTTCGGGCTATTAATGTTGTGGCACAAAAGGGGTCCCTACAGTTTTATGTCGACTTTGAACGCCGATTTTGTTTTAATGGGAAGCTGTTTTTCATTTTCAAGTTTTGAGCACTTCTAATCATTACACCACAGCGGCCTATATACGAGACCTATATTCATATACATTTTTTGGATTTTGGTATCGATATTTGGAATATCGAGTCTTTTTATTCCGATATTAATGGGTACCCGATATTTTTAAAGCGATACCTTAAATGAGTACCATATCGATACTTTCTGTTCGATATCGTGTCCCTATAGACACTTCTTGCTAAGTATAATTTTCTAACTTTCCCTAATTTCCTCTTCTCCACAATTATTCTATATGAGTACTACAGTTTTATATATATCCACATGGAAATTATGCAGATACTTCGAGTGGTTCGATAAGAGAACGTTTCACACCAACTGGTGTGCACACATACATTTCAATAGAGCCGAGCATTATGCAAACCGTTCACGAAGCGCGTATTCTACCACCGACAGCAGTAAGTATGGATTAATTTAATCCTGCAGACACATTGCATTAATGTCGTCAAAAGTTTACTTTAATTGCTTCTACATACTTAACTACATACATACTCATGAGCGCTGTTACTCAACATCTTACTACTTTTTGTCTTTTCCTTTGCCTTTGTATAGCGAAAATGTTTATTTGAAGATGAGCGACCTCGTATCTATGGCAAAAAGTATAGCCACAATAAATGCATTACACGTTGTCGCATGAATAGCATGTTGGCAATATGTAATTGTCTCTTGTTCACTTATCCGGAGGAATTGCTTGACGTGGATAGAGAGTTTGTTTACTGTACTCTGCGGCATAAGCCTTGTTTGGAACGTTATTATTGTGAGTGCTTAAAAGTCTAGTCCGAAAATTTGTAATAACCATACGTAAATATTTTGATATTTTTGACTCATATTTAGTTAAATGGTCCAACGTTATTACCGAACGCGCATACATCCCTGGACTGGAACTTGAAATGGAGGACGCTTTATATTGTCCGCAGTGTTTGCCTTTGTGTTCGTCAGTGCGTTACGCCATCCATACCAATGAATTGCCTTTAGTAAATTATTACACACATACCTTTCCGTAAGTAAAGATTTACTATCGATTTGTGCGAGTGTTAAATGACTACAGCAAAAAGTTTCCGACAAAAGTTATGTATTTTTTCCGAAGAACCTGTTTAAAATCATATATGCCCCATTCAAAAATTTTAACTTCCGGTCGGTTTAATCCACTTTCGGTCGAAACCGGAAGTCGGTTTGGTAGTTCATATTCATGCGTCTTCAAATAAAGGACATTTTTTGACAGTATTGAGTTTCACAAAAAAAACCACCTTCATATTCCGGGAAATCCTAAAATGAACAAGCCTAAATATACATATCGTCGTATAGCAAAACCGCGTAACCGACATTGCTCTTGCCTCAATCCTTATCCATTTGCCCTGAAATATACTAGCCAGAAATACGTAGCTTTATAAAAATGAGAACCATTTTGAAATACGAGAGTGTTTTTAATCTCTAGAAAATAATTTGGGCAACCTCACATACGCGGTTTTGCATTTTGTTGATACGCGGTTTTGTACTCTAAGCGACGATATATGTTTGTATGTACTTAAAACTGGGCAATCAGTTTTTTTTTTTTTTTTTCAGAGAAATATTTCATTTAAATGTATCGAATCTCGCATTGGTGGAGGTTTTCTTCGGCACCCCGCATATTCAATTCTTTAGGCGTTTACTGAAGGATAGCTGGTTCGAAGTACTAGGTAAGTTTGTGTAATTTACCTGTAAGCAGCATTTTTTTAAATCAATTCCTTCTACTTTCTTCATCAAAGGTTTAATTGGCAATCTAGCCAGCATTGTTACAGGCTTCTCTTTGGTGGGCATTTGTGAGGTTTTTTATTTTTTCGGCCGCCAGTTGTTTATGGTCTTAAAGAGTGAAATGATTTCGGATCGAAGGGGCAAAAAGAAAAAACCTGAAACACCTTTGCTGATTTTGCCATGAACGACCATTTGCAAACCAAAGTGTTGTGTTAATAGCATGTTTATACTATGTAATTGTAATGAAATTATTTAATAAACAAAAATTTTGTTTATAACAGTTTTGCCATGATAGCGATTTTAC